TTCAGGCTAGTGTCACCAACCTTGAGCTTGTAACAGTCTACAAAACTGTTACACTCAGTCCATCTGAGAGATCTCACACTGTTTACACTGTCTCACTCAGAGGCAATTGGGTAACTTGCCCAAAGTCACACAGCTAGTGAGTGTTATGTGTCTGAGGCTGGATTTGAACTCAGGTCCTCCTGACTCCAGGGCTAGTGTTCTATCCACTGTACCACCTAGCTGCCCCCAAATGCACTTTTAAAACAAAATCAGTTTCATTTATTAATAGTCACTAATAGTCTATAATAAAAAGGACATTATCATTATAAAAAATAGAAAACAAGGGATAAATTTTAACTTGCTGAATATTCTTCCCTTGTAATGAATTTCTATATTAGTTGAGTGTATCTATGAAAAAAGATTATTAATTGTTAGTAGAGATATTATTTGTTATAGCATCCTATGCATTTTAACAAAGCAGTGAAATCAGTAAATGGCCTGAGGACAAAGTCAACATAAACATAGGTTTTTGGTGGCCATTGGTTGTTATATATTAGCCAATTGATGGATTTCAGTAAAACGTCACTGATTTGGATTAAGCATAAACCAGTCTGAATGATTGAAAAGTCTGAATCATAGGATATCTAAAGAAAATAATGGTAGTATTTTGAAATACATATAGTAACTCAGACTAGGCTAGAAGAATTAGATCTCTAGGGGAATTGCTTTAATGAAGACATAAGAATTATTTGTAATCAGCGTATCAGTTATTTACATGAGACATTTTCTAAAATGTTAAGGGTACCCAAAAGTAGTGTAATAGTTTAAAAATTCTTCCTATAGGGTTATTTTTTTGAAGCTGTTAATTTTCATATATATAGTATTAGTGCTAACTTTCAATACAGTGTACCTTACTCAAGAAGTTTTTGTTAAGTACCTAATTGTATGCCAGGTTCGGTGCTAAGTGCTGGATACAAAAAGGGAAACAGTCACAGCCCTCAAAGAGTTTACATCCTAATGGGGGAGACAGCATCCACATGTATATATGTTCAGAGCAGACACAAGGTACCTTGAAGGGAAGGCACTAGGAGCTGGGCAAAACATGAAAGGCGTCATGCAGAAGATGGCAGTTGAGCTGTTTTGAAGGAAACCAGGGGAGATGGATATGAAGGGGCATATTTAGGAATGGAGGACAGCCAGTTCAAAGACCCAGAAATAGGAGATTTAATGCCCTGTGAAGAAGAGCAAGAAAGCCAGTTTAGCTGAACTTGTGTGTGTGTGTGTGTGTATATACATGTGCATGTGTGTGCATGCGTGCATGAAGGGGAATAATATATAGTAAACTTGGAAAGGTAGGATGAGGCCCGAAGACCTTTAATGCCAAATAGTTAAGTTTGTATTTGATTCTAGAAGTAAGGAGCAATTGAAGTGAGGGGGAGATGGGGTGGGGTGACATGGTCAGACCTGTAACTTAAGAAAATAACTTTAGTGACTGTGTAGGGAATTGATTGGAGTAAGGAGAGCCATGAGACAGGGAGACCAATGACAAAGTTGTTGTAATATTCTGGATGAGACGCAATGAGGGCTATGTGAATGGTGATAAGAGGAGATATTTGAAAGGTGTTGTGGAGGCAGAAACTACTTAAATATGTGGGATGAGTGAGAGTAGGCAGTCAGAGATGACACCAAGGCTATAAACCAGGCTGACCAGGAAGATGGTGCCTTTAACAGAAATAGGGAAGCTCAGAAGGCTAGGTTTTGAAGAAAAGATAAATACCTCTGTTGTGGATATGTTAAGTTTGAGATGTCTATGAGACATTCAGTTGAAAGTGACAACAGGTGAGTTGATGATTCAGGCCTTGGGCTCAATTCTTCACAAATGAATTGTGGAGTCATAATTAAATAAGATTTTACAGTGTAAATTCTATAAATTTTCATTCTTTATGAAAAGCAGCAACTAATTGAAATGTGATAAAGCATCAGGAAGAGAGACTATATGTAAGAAAAATACTTCAGTAGGCAGTATTCCAAGGGAGGGTGTGTCCTATTCAGAAAAAAGTTGTCAAATGTTTGAAAGGACATGATGGAACAGTGTTAGAATGGGGGAATATATTTTAGAGTAAATACTACCCTGGAATAGGTTTTGAAAGTGGCAGTGTATTTTAGGAAGCGAAGCATACAAAATGGCAGGGATTTATATACAGTGTGGCTTCCTTTTCTATTTGAGTTTGACAATACTGGCCTACAATAAATAGTAGGGATGATGATAATTGGAATATAGGACCCAGTGAGGAAAGTAGTTCTAGCTTAGGAGAGTAATATTAGAGAAAGCATAGGTTGTCCCGAGAAACACTTGCCCCAGAAAGAAATGTTAGACTGATACAGAACTTGAAGAACTGTGTGCTGAGTTGGGCTGTGTCAAGATTCAAACTAAGTATATATTATGGAGTCTTTGTATACTTTAACCTTATTGTTACCAGGCAGACCACAGGTGTGATATCTGGAAATCCTGTGGGTAGGAGTTTTAGCACCAGAATTTCTCAAATGAAAGAGGCTATCTTGAGCTACAAGAAAGTGAGCAGGATTTGAAGCTATTTGGGATTTGTATTCAAGGGTGAATGGAGAGAATATTTGATCTCAAGATACTATCTACACTTTTAGGCAAAAATGTTAGTGTAGATTTATCAAACGAGGAGAGTTTATTCATTAGACCATTTTTAAAAGAAAAAAATAATTTTCCTTCGTTTTCTTCTTTTAATCCTTTGAATTCTTTTCTATGTTTTACCTTCACTTTGAGGTGCTTCTGCATTTTTTCCCCATTCTTCATTTTAAACTTTAACTTAATTATTTGAAATAGGAAGAAGCAGAATACTATTTTCTTTGTTTTGGCCTTGATATAGCTGCTCCATGTTCTTTATTATATCAAGGCTCTTTTGGGGTAAGTTTTAAGTTTCATGTGTTGTTTTTGAATTAGTTTGCTTCTCTTCAGTGTTTTTATTATTATGGGCATTGCCATCCCCCTTACCTTTCTGGGCAATCACATCTATCAGCAAATAATTTTATTTTGTTTTTAAGTAGTAAGCATTTTACGTATTTAAGGAGTATTTTTTATATTTTTAAGTAGTATTTTTTATTAGTCAATCAACCAGCATTTATTAAGCACCTTCTTATGCTAAGCACTAGGGATATAAAGATCAAAATGAAATAGTCTATACCCTCAAGAAGCTTTGTAGTAAGTATTTTAACTGCTAAAGTTGTGCTCTGATACTTCATCATAGCAGGGAGGTGATGCTGGCTTCCTGAAGGTAATGGGAACAGGGCGGAAAAATTACCAAGCTGAAAGGCTATGAGTTGGGCGTAGCAACAGACTTCATCTGTCATCTGAACACCAGCCTGCTTATTCAGAAAGGTTTATTAACAGAAGTTTATAAAAGTTCATATGATAAACTTATTTAGCAGCTACAGCTCATGAAGACTAGGGCGTGGTGGCATTGTGATCTGATCTGTATATTGCTGGAGGGAGTACTGATACAAGTGAAATCATAAGTCTTTAAAAATAATTTAAAAGTAATTCTTTATTCAAGGAGCTATACTAGATGCTAGTTCTTTGGGCCACTTTGGGTCATTTCTGTTGTATACCTTTATATTAGAGTCATCTTGTCTACATTTTACCTAAAGTACATCTCTAAAACTTATTGCCTTTGTCATTCATAAACCTAAATATGTCCTCTAAGATTTTCCTAGTGGAGATCACTAGACGGACAAATAGATCAACTGAATACAACAAACATTTTATTAAGTGCTAACTTTACGCAAGGCATTGTGCTAGATGCCAGGGATACAAAATAAAAATGAAACAACTCCTGCCCTCAAGGTACGAATTAGACTTAGAGGAATACAATATATACACATGTACATGGTAAATGAAAGGTAGTTTGGGAAAAGACAGAGAGCCTTAGTTTGGGGAATCTGAGAAGATTTTTGAGGAGGTGATGCTTGAAAAGAAATAATGATTCTCAGATTGAAATGGTGTACTCCTGAAATAGTTTATGTAAATGTGTGGAAGCAGGATATGGAATGTCAGTTGCAGGGAACAGCTAATAGTCCAATTTGGCAAGAATGTAGAGTGTATTAAGGGAAACAATGTAAGATAAGGTGGGAAAGATAATTTGAAGCCATATTTTAGAGCACCTTTTAACCCAAAAGAGAGCGTTTAAAGAAAGCCTGTTTTGTAGTAGACAAGCTTATTGGACATTTCATTTTGAAAGAAGGAGAATTTTACAAGTTAAAAAATACTGGAATATTTTTATTCTGAATAAATTTTTTAAAATTAAATTTCTATTTTTTGGAAGTTCATGTAGGGAATATAAAGATATATAACAAATACTCTCTGTCATCCAAGATTTTACATAGGAGGAGTAACCCATGTCCATAAATATCTATTTTTTTTCCTTTTTGGTGAGGCAGTTGGGGTTAAGTGACCTGCCCAGGGTCACACAGCTAGTTGGTGTCAAGTGTCTGAGGCTGGATTTGAACTCAGGTCCTCCTGACTCCAAGGCCAGAGCTATAGCCACTGCACCACCTAGCTGCCCCCCCCATAAATGTCTACAATGAAATCTGTCATATATTCCATACATGGCACAAACATAGTGCAATGAATGTTGAAAATGAGGGATTATTCTCATCTGTTGTAATCAAGGAAGTCTTTCTTCCTCTTTTTATCAGTCCTGTTTTCTTATTTAGAGATGAAATTAGTATGATTTGCTTGTGAAAATGTCCCTTGTCTTGTATTATATCACAGAAATATCTGTAACTGAAGGCAAAATTACCAGAATGACCTGGTCTTTTATGTCCCAATTCAAATGCTTCTGAATTCCATTTTTTTTAATGGATTCCCTTTGTCCAGTGCTGTTTTTCTAGTTTAACAACCATGAAAGTTACTATTAACTTTGAAAATCAGGTACATAGATTTTAGGTATTAATTACATGCTTACACATGCTATTTTTGGTTTGTTTTCCAGACTGAACTTAGATGTCAGCAAAATAATATTATGGTACTAGAAGATACAATATAAAGTCTTAGATATGTAAGTATGTATTTTAATATAGTTTTAAGTACTTGAGTGTATCCTAATTATTTTAAGAAGCTACTTTTTTAGCTTTGTGACCTTGGGCAAGTCACTTAACCCTGATTGCCTAGCCAAAAAAAAAAAAAAAGAAGCTGCTTTTTGTGGAATTGTTAGGAATACAGAGGAAAAAAATTAGCATACAGTCCATTTGACCTTTTGTCTCCATGATTGGATCCTCATGCCAGATAAAACTTCAGATGAATAGAAAGCTGCCTCTTTTAACCATTAGCTCTCCAGTAAAAGAATGCCCTAGTATGCAAAAGTGGAACTTGATTGCTAGATTTCCCCTTTGCTTGTCCTTATCCTGAAAGATCAAGAATAATTTATCAGTTGATCAGTTTATGAAGCCTTATCATGCTATTTGGGTTTCAATCATTATTAATGAGAGTGTTCTCAGAATTTGTATTTGGCTTTTCATAAACCCCTTAATTCAGTGTTTTTTTTTTTAAGCCAGCAGTATTAAGTCAGTTGACTCTTCATTGAAATAGCTTGAATTCTTCTTATCCACAGAAAGATATTGCATCAATAATTATTTTAGATAAATCCTTTTTTTTAAGCTTTGGAGTTAAAATAAACTTTATGAGCACAAAACATTCAATTTATCTAAAATACCTTGTTTTGCTGTTATTCTTATCTACAAAAATGTTAGTTAAAGAATTTGTAAAAGAAATGTGTTCAGATTGATCTAAAAGGATAGGAGTTCATAGGAATGAAATTCTAACACTGAGAACTATGCCAGGATACAAACATTTAGTCATATTAAGGGATAGACTAGCAACATACAGAGCTACTAAAATAAGCAATGCCCGTTTATATGACTATTTCTAAACCTATTGAAATTGAGAAGACATTTCTAGTCAACTTAAACCTTTTACCCTTTCCTTCAAAATTAATGGAGTTCACAAGGAAAAAGCAATAAATTAAAAGAAAAGGTAAGCTACAAATGGAACCATTATAAATAACAGGAAGAGGAAGCCTTGACAGTAAATCAGAAATGAAATAGATGTAGTATGGCTCTTGGGTCAGGAGAGAGATATTGGAGATAACTATGATGATGTAAGAAACAAAAGACATCAATAAAAGCTTATTTAAAAAAGAAATGCATTAGAAATGATGTAATTCCAGACTTTAATCTATAATCAAATTTTATTTTATTTTATTTTTTTCAAATTTGATTTTAATGATTGAGTGATTGTCAATTTTCATCCTATTTTAAAAATACTAGTTTCATTTGGCTTGCAGTAAACTACTTAATTTTTTCCTCCTTGGCAAGATAATTTTAGACTGAAAAGGTGTTAAATCTTTTTCTAGATTTGATTCTTTTGTCAAGACTTTAGGAGCAGACAACTCATCATAAGAGTGAAGCTGAAAATTTGGGAAAGATGATTCGAAGTAGATCTAAAAGTCCTCGACGCACTTCTCCACCTCCCAGGGTACACATGGTATCTTGTGATATATTAATTTATAATGCAAACAAAATATCTTCTTTGGCCTTTCATTTTGATTTAGCAGTAAGTGGTTGGTGGATGATTCACAGAGATACCCTTGACTGTGGAGTAAATACAAAAGAGCAGATGTAGCGTGCTTTGTGAAAGTAAGCAAACTGGTTGGGCAAAAATCGGATGAATGGGCATAATTTGAGAAAATAATTTTTTAAAAAAGGTTGGATTTCTTAGGGATAACTACATTAATTTCACTTGCTTACCAAGTACCAGTGTGTATATTTAGATTGAGGTTACATACTCCCATCATTATTAGTGGAAAAAGTACTGGATTTATAATTAGCGGTGTCTTAGATTTAAAGCCCTCTTCAGACACTTAACGGCTGTGTTTTTTTCCTGGTAAGCCACTCCAACGCTCACAGCCAGTTTCTTTAACTATGAAATGAGGATAGTGATGATAATTGCATTGCCTACTTGAGAGAGCTGTTGGGAGGAAAGTACTTTGCAAACTTTAAGACTTGTTTGAAAAGCTTGATTGTGAGAGGAAAGCTAAGGAAGGATAGCCAGTGAAGGCAGTACAGTCAAAGTGTAGTTTTTGCATTAGAGAGAAGACTATGAATATTTGAAGGCAGAGTAAGGAGAGGAATATAGTTGTTTCAAAACCCTAAGTGTCAAGATTTGTAAAATTTCTGTCATGATTTTAGGGAGCAAATTGTGATTCAGAGCTTTTGAAGACAAGAGATCGTGAGGAACTTAGATGTATGTTGGACAAATATGAGCGTCACTTGGCTGAAATTCAGGGTAATGTCAAGGTTCTCACATCTGAAAGAGACAAGACTTTTCTTCTTTATGAACAGGTAATTTTATTTGTAGATGAGCAAAAGATCTGAGGAGTAATTTATCCAGCTGTTAAAGGTGTATCTTTTTCCCATTAAATTCTAAACATGTGCTTTGTAAAGCCATTAAACTAACGAGACATTGCAAATGTTCTATAAGATTTTCTTAATAAAATCTTATTTTTTTATACTGTTATTTGGAGTAAGAGGTGTTTTTTAATACACAGGAGCATATCATATTAGCAAAGGATAGTGGGTGCTTTACAGTGATGGACCTGGGTTAGCAAAGGGTAGAAATCTCAGATTCTGTGAAATAGCAAAGTTCTGAAACACCTTTAAGGACAAATAATTACTTTGTAAACTCCCATATCATTGCTTAGTAGGCTTATTCTTTTAAGACACAGCTCACCCTTTTCTGCCTGAAGCCTCCTAACTGTGCTAGTGTCTTCCCTCTCAGAAGTATTTAACTACTTTATGTGTGTATATATGTATACAAGCATATATTTATGCTGTATGTGTTTTTATGTGTACTTGTTTCCCCATTAGACTGTAAGCTCAGTACAAGCAGGGATCATTCCATTTTTTTGTAGCACATAGCATAATGCTGGCAAATATTAGGTGATTAATAAATACTTGGTGATTGGTTGCACAGGGGCTCATAAGAATGCATTTGCTGAAACTATCCTAGTGGGGGACCTCAACCTTCCCCTCTCTGTACTAAATAAGTCTAACCACAAAACAAACAAGAAAGAAGTTAAGGAGATGAATCGAATTTTAGAAAACTTAGATATGGGAGACCTCTGGAGAAAACTGAATGGGGATAGAAAGGAATATACTTTTTTCTCGGCGGTCATAGCACAACACAAAAATTGACCATGTACTAGGGCATAAAAACCTCACAATCCAATTCAGAAAGGCAGAAATATTAAATGCATCCTTTTCAGATCATGATGCAATAAAAATTATATGTAATAAAGGGCCATGGAAAGATAGACTAAAAAATAATTGGAAACTAAATAGTCTAACCCTAAAAAATGATTGGGACAAACAAGAATGCATTTGCCTGAACTCTTTAAATCTGACTAAAAGGCTTTAAATAAAAGGAAAAGGGTAGAAGAAAACTATACATATATACATGAAGATACCTTACTGATACCCTAAAGAGGAGCTAAGAAGAAGAGAGCTTTGAGACACACAAAATTTCACAAGAATCAAAGTCCAAGAAAGGACTTGATAATAAAACACATAGCTTTAGAGATCTGTGTGCATATGTCATCAACAAGCAAAGTTGAATGTTTAAGATCCTAACATAGAGGAAGCTTAGTAGGATGAGAACCATGACAGAATTAGATAAGGTAGGTTATGGGATAGCATTATATATTAAGACAATTTACTTATGTGAAGAAATCTAGGAATCAGAGGGAGAAAACGTGCTAGGAGCATTTGGATGAAAATCAGTGAAAGCAGAGAAATGATAATCATCATAGTCTTCTAGAGACTATCTGGACAGAAAGAGGACATAGATGAAGAGTTTTAGGGAAAGATAAAAAATTTGGCATGATATAGTCATGATGGAGACATACATACTTATTTGGACTTGAATCTCTCTATGCTAAAAGCAGAATAGTGTATGTGTTTTTGACATGCCTTTATTGCAGTTTCATCCTTCAAAAGGTGTATGACCTAATAAGGGGAAATACAATTGTAGGTGGGATTCTCACCAACCAGGAGGTTGCTGGGGTGGAAAGGATGAAACCTTAGAGGAGAATGAACTATTCTATCTTAGAATTCTTATCAGAGGAAAAGAAAGCAGAGACTAGTTAGGTGCACAGTAGATTTTGGAAGAGCAGATTGTAAAGGGATCAGAGAAGGACAGGGAGGTTCTTATAGACCAAAATTTTTCAAAAAAAGCTGGTTCATTAATGGTGAGCAAAATTCTGAAGATGAAATGGAAACATTGAGGAGGAGGGAGGAGCATTTAGGTGGAGGAATGTACAAATTGCTGGATTTGGAATCAGAAATTCATGAGTTCAAATCTTCCCTCAGACACTTACAGCTGTGTGACTATGGGCAAGCCTCTTAGCCTCTCTGAGTCTGTTTCCACATCTGTAAAATGAGGGGGCTGGAGTCAAAATCTTCTCAGGTTCCTTCTAGATCTAAATCTGTGATCTTTTGAGAAAGGAGAGTTAATTTTAAAAGACTGATGTGAATTATCAAGGAAGTCCCCAATCCACATAGATTTTTAAAAGACACACCCAGAAAATGGAAGCAAGATCAGAAGAAACAATATGGCCTTTTTTGTTAACTCTCCTTTCTTATAAAATCAAAGCACAGTGCCAACCCTAAGAATTAGCCAAGGCTGGTGAAGGAATCTACAAACAAAATAAATTTGGATTTCTTTGGCTATATGAAAGAAGAGGACTGTTCCTTAGGTGAGATAGGCCTATAAGACTAATGAAAAAGAGAAGTCATGGCCCTTAAAATCTTATTTTCATTCCGTTTTCTCTGCACACTGATCTTTGGAATAAAAAGGAAGCAACTATGGATCATAGTGAGTTGCCAACCGAGATAATTAGGGAAGGAATAAGAAAATACCTAGTGGCCTTTGATGAATCCAGGCAACCAAAGTACAGGTAAATTGAGTATGGAAAGAATGGGGGATATGCAATTGCTAAGCTTCTGTCAATGATCTTTGAACGACCATTTCAAAGAAAACTGGAGATGCTGCCAGAAAGATGAAAAGCAGTTGTGCACTTTTCCAAAAAGCAAAAGAGAATGGAGTCTGCAAACTAGAGACCAGTGAGCTGTATTTAAATTCCTGGGGAAATTCTAGAATGGATTACTAAAGGGAGTGGTTAGCAACCAGCCCTAGGAACTGGAATAGGAAGCAGTAATAGAATAGAAAGCAGTAAGCATAAAAAGCTGGAATTGCTTTGTCAAGAACAAGTCATACTGCTTTAACTTTGATTCTTTTTTTGATAGGGTTACTAGATGAATCTATCAGGGGAGTACTGTAGATATAATTTACTTAGATTTTTTAGTAAAACATTTTACAGTCTATTATGCTGATTTTGTGTGGAAAAAAATAGAGACATAGAAATAAATGATAATATGGTTAGGCAATTTGAAATTTACTGAATGGCTAGACCTAAAGAGTAGTCATTAATGGTTTGATGTTAGGTTAGAAAGAGGTCTGCAGGGAAATGCTAAGAAGATCTGTATTTGGCTTGTGCTGTTTTAACATTTTTGTCAATGACTTGCATACTTATAGATGTTCTGCTTATCAAATTTTCAGATATACACTTGATGACAGAGTCAGGATTCAAAAAGATATTAAAAAGCTAAAACATTGGACCAAATAGAATAAAATGAAATTTCATAAGGATAAATGTAAAGGCATATAATTATGAGTTGATTTTTCAAAGCTAAATACAAGGTGAGAAAGGCATGGCTTTGTCTGAAAGGTTGTCTGAAAAAGATCTGAAAATTTTAGTGGACTATAAACTTAATATGAAAAGTGTGTTGTCAAGAAAATGAATCTCCATATTGAGAGAAATATAGCATTTAGGAATAGGGAAAATATAGTATCAGTGAACTTTGCCCTGGTCAGACCACATCTGGTGTAATGTTTTAAAACCTGAGCTCCACATTTTAGAAAGTACTTTGATGAGCTAGAGATGGTAGCAACCAGGATGGTGTCCACTCCATGTGAAAATTGATTGACACCTGTCCAAGATGGCTGCCCACGTAGAGGCAGGTAGACCAGCTCTCCCATACCAAATCTAGCAAAAGTCTAAGAATTGCCCCTAGATTGGATAATGATCAAGAAATCCAATAGGAAATTATAGTAAATTTATTCTTCTACTATAAACCACACAAAAAGTTAGCTAGCTCACTAGAAATAAGAAAAGAGGCTGCCAGCCAAGCCAAGCCAGGAATAGGCACACGAACTAGCAGTGTGACCAGAGACCAGCCACAGGCATATGTAGCCAGAAGGGCTCTGTGTTCAGATGCAGCAAGAACAGAAGACTCCCCTGAAAAAGCTCCAGGATGGTCAGAAGGGCTTAGGGTAGGGACCTTGGAAACCACCTGAAAAGAAGTGAGCAGGGCAGGTGTGACAGTGCTCCAGCTGAGACACCTCAGGACTCCAAGATCCCCTATACTCTGAAACTCAAAGATTCAGTGGCAGAGGGAATAGCAAGGGGGAGAAGGAGCCCAATGCCTCCATTTGATGGAGGTCAGAGTAAGAGGAACTCTACCTCATAAAAAAAAATGCAGCAGATGGCAGAGCCTGGCTTTGACACAAAGTCACATTTAAGGAACTAAGGAAAAAGAGATTGATGAACTAAAGAAGATCTTGACTGGTATAAAAAAATTTATTGTAGATCTAGCGATGGCCAAAAAATTAGCCTAGAATGAGAAAGTAATGCCATAGCAACTGTAAAAAAGACTCAGAAAATTGGATTTCCTATAAGAGTACTTAGAAAAAAATGAAGAGATTTTAAAAAATGAAATAAAAGCTGTGGAGGGAAGAATTGTTAGATGAATAAATAGCTTAGAACAGGAAATGGTAAATATTATCCAAGTAAATGGACCCCTTGAAAATTAGAATAGACCAAAGAGAAATCAGTGTCTCCATGACAATAATTAGTGAAAGCTGTGTTGCACAGTAGATAAAGCCTTAGGTCTAGAGTTTGAATTTGGCCTCAGAATCTTAACTAGCTAAATAACCTTGAACAAGTTACTTCAAAAAGGGGAAAATAATAGCACCTACCTTTCAGTGTTGCTCACAGGGTTGTCATGAAGATCAAATGAGATAATATTTATAAATATTTGTAAATCACTTAACACAGTGCCTGGCACATAATAAGTACTTAATAAATGCTTATTCTTCCCTCTTTCTGTCCCCTGCCTTTTCATGTTGCAGCAAGAAACATTAGTACAAAATCAAATTATTGGAAAAATAGAAGAAAATATAAGATATCTGTTTATAAAAAAAACAATTGATATGGAAAGCAGGTCAAAGAGATAGTTTTGAAATCACTCGACTGTTTGAAAACCATTATTTTAAAAAAGCCTGGAGGGAGAGGGAGAAAATTTAGATCTCAAAATCTTATAAAAGTGAATGTTGAAAACTAAAAAAAAAAGCCTAGACATTATTTTAGTAGATTATGAACAAATCTATAAATAATAATTATTATAGCTCACATTTCTATACTGCTTACTGTGTGCCAGGCACTATGCTAAGCACTTTAAAATTACTATCTCAAAAAAAAATTACTATCTCATTTGATCTTCTCCACAGCCCTGGGGAAGGTAGGTGCTACTTTATCCCCATTTTACAGTTAAGGAAATTGAGACAGGCAGAGGCAAAGTGACTGCCCACAGTCACACTCTAATAAGTATTTGAAAACAGATTTGAATTTGGGCACTCTATCCACTGTGCCACCAGCTGCCTCATTTGATATATTTGAACCAGAAGGTAAAGTGAAAATAGAAAAAAAAACCCTACATATCACCTCCCAAAAGGAACTCCAAAAAGGAAAAGTCCCAGAAACATCTTGGCCAAAATTTGGATCTTCCACATCAAAGGAGAAATATTGCAAGCAGGCAGAAAGAAGGAATTCATGAGTAAGCAGAGTCAGGATCACAGAAGATCTAGCAACTTCTACTACAAATGTGAGGAGAGTTTGGAATCTAATATTCCAACAGGCAAAATATATAGGTTGACAACCAAGAGTAATTTACCTTGAAAAACTGAGTATAATCCTGCAGGGGAGAAAAAATTAACTTTAAATGAACTGGAGATCTTTCAAGGATTTCTGATGAAAAGATCAGAGAGCTGAATAGAAACTTTTAAGAGTCAAGAGAAACCTAGAAAGGTCAATTTATTTGAACATTTGGGGGAGGATATGTAAAATGATGGAATACTAACATGCTTATGGAGGAGGAAGGAGAAATGATTTTTAAAGATATTCTGAGTGTTAAGTAAGAAAGAGGATTTGGGGTAGATGGATTATGGTCTCAGGATTTTAAGAGGCAAAAGAGGAGGGGGAACATAACTAGTATATAAAGGAGAAAGAAGGGGGTGGAACTTGCTATGAGAAGAAGAGTATATTAAATATGTAGAAGGGTGGGAGAACCATGGATCAGGTGAGCCTCTTATCTGAACTAGACAAAGGGTTGAAACACACACACACACATACATGTGAGTACGCATGCATTCGAGGAAAGACTAATTGAAAACACCTATAATTCTCATTTTGCATTTTGTGTTGCCCTTTATCTTGATTTGTGTAATTAAAATTTGTATGAACAAGTTGTTAAAAATATAAAGTTTAATTGTGTCACACTTTAGCAAAAGGCTTGCACTCAAATGTAGTTGGCTGGTGGAGTAGCAACTCTAATGTTCCTTTAAGCTCATTAAAACAGATTTATACTTGTATGTTTAAAAATAACAGCAATTGAAAAGCAAATTTCTTGATCCTTAAGGAAAGATTATGAGGGAAAAAGAAAGGGAATCTGAGGGAGGTGCTTATCAATTGGTGAATGGCTGAATCCATTGTGGAATATCTCACTCTAAGGGAATATTATTGGATTTTAAGAAATGATAAGATGTGATTTCAGAGAATTCTAATTTGTACAACAATATTGGAGAAAACCAACTCTGACCAACCACATCTACAGAGGACTTATGATGAAGCATGCTATCTACCTCCAGACTTGGAGATAATGGACTTATGGTACAGGAAGAATATTTTTGGGCATTTGGACACTGTTTAGACTTGGATTTCTGCCCCCCCCATTTTGAATTTGTTAGGGAGAGCAGAGGGGATTAATAATAATGAGCAAAAAAAAAAGTGGGCTCTTAAAATGTTTTTTAAATGCACAGAACAGATTCAGAAGAGAACAGAGACAAGGCCAGTTTTCAAAGTAACATGTAGAATTATGTACTTTTTAGAAAAAGGAAGCAGCATGAATGAAGTGGAAAGTGTGGCTTCACATATGATCCCCTTTTTGTATTCTCTACGTGTGAGAAATGCTCTCTTTTTTTGTTGTTGTTTGTATTTAAGTCCAGAGAAAAAAAGTTTTTAAAGGATTAGTTGAAGAAACCCAAGATGCTGAGCATGGAGCAGAGAAGCCTTTGTGGTGTGAAAAGGAAGATGAGGGCTATGTTCAGGTCTCTGAAGGACATGCTGCCATGCAGAAGAAAAGATGAATGAGATGAGTTTTTTTGGTGGTTGTTGGGGTATTTTGGTTTTCTTGTTTTTTCTTTTTTTGGCTTAGCCCAGAGAGAAGGGTTAGGCATAGTGGGTAGAAATTGCAAAGAGATAAATTTAGACTTGATTTCAGGATACATTTCATAACAGTTAGAGCCATCCATATTTAGAAAGGGCGTCTTCCTGTGTATAAGAGATCTTCAGTGAAAATCTAGATTACAGATAAAGTCTAGGTATTGATTCAGGGTATCATAGTAAGCATTCTTTTTCAGGTGTGAGGTGGTCTAGATAGCCACAGAAGACACTTCCACATTTGAAATTCTATTGTTCTATGAGTGCATAAAGCCAAGATGATATTCAGCCATTTATCTTCTGATCTGAGCTTGGCCCATTGACCTTCAATTTTGTAGCCTTTTCCAGTCAATAAGCTTTCTCCTCAAAACATTATTTTGAAAAATGTTAAATTCTTATGGAGAATATCTTGTGAATTTACCAAGTTACTAAGATATTTTTTAATTAATTTTTTTCCAATTAGCAGAAATTGATTTTTGTCTTCTTCCATTCTTCACTATTGAAAACAAAAATAATTTTTTTAAAAATAAATACATATAGTTTAACAAAACAAATTCCTACATTAGCCATATCTAAAAAACACATATCTCATTCTGCACCCAGAGTCTATCACTTCTGTGTCAGGAGTTGGGTAACATGCTTCAGCACTGGACCTGGAGTCAGGAATTCAAAAATCTAGCCTCAGATACTTATGTAAAATTACTTGCCTTCTCAGTGAGGAGGAGGGTATGATGGGAAGGAAAGAATTTGAAACTCAAAATTTGAAAAAAAGAATGTTAACATTGTTTTTATATGTAATTGTGAAAAGTAAGTAAGAGTCAAAAGTTATTTGCCAGTTACAGGGTTAAGATGAATTAGTTTGGTGTCTTACGGAGATGTTGTGGTGTTAAGGAAGTGTTCTAGAGAATGAACAAAAAATATGTGAGGGCATCCATCATCCAGAATTTCTTTCCACCAAAGATGTATTGATATAAGCTGGCAGCCAGGGACATGAAGTAACCTTTTAATATTGAATTAGAAGTTTCTATGGTATTTTATTAAAAATAAGATACTTTCCTGTATTACATTCAAGTGTATACAGGAAAAGGAAAAAGTATAATGAAAGCATTATCTGGAAAATATTCTCTTTTGCAGTGACCTTTTTTTACCTATACTTTACATTTTGCATTTTGTGTTGCCCTTGATCTTGATTTGTGTAATTAAAATTTGTATGAACAAGTTGTTAAAAATATAAAATTTAATTGTCTCACACTTTAGCAAAACGCTTCCACTTAACCATTGTTGGCCGGTAGAGTAGCAAGTCTAATGTTCCTTTAAGCTCATTAAAGCAGATTTATACTTGTATGTTTAAAAATAATAGGCACAAGAAGAAATAGCCAGACTGAGACGAGAAATGATGAAAAATTGCAAGTCTCCTAAATCAACATCAACAGCACATGCAATCTTACGACGGGTAGAAACAGAAAGAGATGTGGCCTTCACTGACTTACGAAGAATGACCACAGAACGAGATAGTCTGAGGGAGAGGTTAAAGGTTAGAAAGACATTTTACCTACACTAATGTCAATGCAGCACAGATACAACAAAACTGAAGGTACTATGTTTTTTTTTTTATTTGAAACAGATTTCCCAAGAGACTGCATTTAATGAGAAAGCTCACCTGGAACAAAGAGTAGAGGAATTGGAGTCTACAGTACACAGTGTAAAAGAAATTCAATTTTATCTATAACTAATTTTTAATAATGGCTCATTTAATTTTTATGTGTTCAAAAAAGTAGCAATTTTTAAATCAGGGATATAGGACATTCTAAGATAAAAGTATTATCTATCCTTTGTGTTCTACCAAGTTAAGGTGAAAAGTGTAGATCTAGACATGTTTCTAAAAAGAAGATTTAGTGAAATCTCTATTCTTCATTGATTATCCTCAGTAATGTATTTCTACTGATTTTAATGATTTACATTTTTGAAGTGTAATTACTTTTCTCTACTTTTCTATAGAAGAGAAAAATGCTTTGTCTTCTTTTAGAATAAATTAGGCAAGTAATTTGGGAAATTTGAGAAAGCATTAAATATAACTTATAGATGAAGATTCAAATGTATTACATTTTCTATGTATGAATACTAGGCACTTATATGCTGAGAATGTATAACAGAAATTAACAGGAATTTGACTTAACTTACAACAGGTTTACTTAATCATATTTGCATTCTTATTAGTTGTATCCTTTTATGACAGCAAAAGGGGGGGAACCCCCCCCCAAAAGCTATGTAGATTGTATGTTTCTTTTATATGTGAGGGATTTTTGCTTGGAAAGTTTTAAGTCACCAGCCAGAAAAACCATGAAATTAATATGTTGTGGCCATGTTAAATTGTGGATTGAAAATGTGGTCTGGCTCATACCACAAAAGGTCTTTATTGCTGAGCTGTACAGTAGGTGGGAGGATGTGCTGGTTCCTCTACTTGTTTGGCATAAAGACTGACCGAGAGAATGGACCAACAAAAGTGTTCAATCCCAGTTTGGTTAATTCGTCATACAGACCAGGCCTAAAACTGCATTATGGAAAGGAGATGTGTGCCCTGTTTGAAAGAAGGAGGAAGCCAGGTTCCAGTGACCCCCAGCCTTGTTGTTTTACTTGTGCAGCTTGATGATGAACGTCTAGAACAAATGGCAAATATGACTTTGATGAAAGAAACCATAACCACTGTGGAAAAGGAGATGAAAGCACTAGCACGAAAGGCAATGGACACAGAAAGTGAACTTGGCAGACAAAAAGCAGAAAATAATTCTTTGAGGTAAAAAAAAATTATTTTTAGTAAAACTATTACTTTAACTTTGGTTCTAAGACTATTGCTATTTTAGAAATAGAGAAAATAACAACGCACATTATAGAAGATATTTTATGGTTTATAAAATACTTCCTTCTTAGTGCTTTTCTTCTCCCTTTGGGTTTCCTTCCCACCTAACTCCACACTGGACTGTATATTCTAATGGGGGAGATAACAAGTACCTATAAAAATATATATAGCATAAATATAAAGCTTATATCTGTATCTATCTATACATATATCTATATAATACAAATTAATCACAAGACAGTGGGTAAGGGAGGGCTCTAGTGGTTGGGTTCATCAGGAAAGGTGTCATGTAGAAGATAGTGCTTGAGTTGCATCTTAAAAGGAAGAAAGTGATTCTAAAAGGCAGAAGTAAGCCACAGATGCATTCCTGGCACATGAGGGTGGCCAGTGCAAAGACCTGGAGATGGCAGACGAACAGTTGTGTATGAGAAACTGAGGGAACTGAGAAGGCCAATTTGGTCGTATCACAGTGTGCACAAAGTAGAGTAACATCCAGTGAAGCTTGAAAGGTAGGTTGGGGCTTTAAAAGCTAAATGGAGGCATTAATATTTCATCCAAGAGGCAACAGGAAGCTTCATGAGTTGGATGAGTACCAAAGTCACATGGGCATATCTACATTTAAGGAAAATCACTTTGTCATTAATAATGTTACAGTTATCACTTAGTCATCAGTTATAAAATTATGTTATTAATAAATCATTTATTTAGCACCACCCTAGGAAAAGAACACAAAATAGGAAGAGGAGGGGAAATGGGTAGAAGATATGGTTGAAGGTACAGTGTGAGAACACTGGAGGCTTTGAGGTGGGTTGAGTAGCAGTGTGCTAAGACAGACTAGAGCAGGAAAAGGGAGAGGCAATACAGAGAGACTGATTATATGAACCAGCAAAGGAGCCATAAGATAGGTAGCAGGTGAACCAGGAAAGAATAATGTCATGAAAACACAGAAATGAGAGTAAGAATCCAGGAGGAGAGAGTGATCAGTAGTATCAAATGCATCAGATAGTTTAATAAGAATTAGAACTCAGAAAAGACCAAAAAAAAAAAAAAGGCAGGAGGATAAGTCAAGAAGGTCTAGAGTTGAGGAAAGACAAAATTGAAAAAACTAATAATTATAATCAGTAAGGGATATATGCACGCAAAAGACTGAGATTTCAATGGAGACTGAATAATGTAATTCTAAATAATGAGTGGGTAGAAGAACAATGCATAGACAGTTTTGAAATTTTCAAAAAGAAAGTGACTATGTTATGACTACATGCCATAAACTGGTAGTTCTCAAACTTGAAAAAGAGCAGAAATCCTGAAAATCAAATATATACAATTAAAAACTGGAAGACTATTTAAATAATTTTTTAAACCCAAGGATATTTTGGGGGGAGAAGAATAAAACAGGTAAATGATTAGCTAATTTGATCTTCTCAAAAAGAGAGAAAGGAAAACCAAATTACCAAAATAAAAAAATGAGAATGGAAAATTAGCAAATGTAGAAAGAAGGATAGAGACTGGTCAGGTATAGGGATTTTTTAGAATTTTTTTTAAATTTTGAAATCAAAGATCAAGTAAAATGAGCATTTCAATATATAGTAGAACAGCAAAAGTAGTACATGAAGCTGCAAATTTCTATTATATGTGTTGCTTGCTTTTCTTTTTAAATATATCATGAGTTCAACATATGACTTTAAAAGCTGTCTTTCTTGTCTGTGATTCTTTCTGGCCTTCCTTCTCTTCTGTGCATTTAAAAAATGTTTTAATCTCCTTCCCTTTCTCCTCTTAAATATATGATAAATATGCATAATGAAGCAAAACCATTTCCCACTTTGGCCATGTCCAAAAATGTGTATCATTCTGTCCATCACCTGTCAGGAAATGTGTAGCTTGCTTCATCATCATAGACCTATGATTTCATTTGTATGAAAAACTTCCAGGTAAGGAAACTCCTTCAACCAGTTCAAGTCATCCCTTTTTCTGCAGCTTATTGTCTTAGGAAATTTCCTGTGGTACTGAGAGGGGAATCGTCTTGCCAAGGATCACCTGGCCAATGAAATTCAGAAATGGGACTTGTACCCAGACATTTTGGCTGCAAGGCTAGCTCCCAGGCCTCTGTATCATACTTCCTCTCCTTGATAAAAGACAGTTTTTATGTTAGAACCACTGAAAAGGACAGGAAGAAGAAGATTTCAGTCATATGATCAAAACTCCTTGTCTGAAACCAAGAGCTAGAATTATTTGCAAGTAATCTAGTGAGATCTGAGGTAAAGCAAGTATGTCTATTACTCCACTAAATTTTGCTAAAAATGCTAGCTATCACAATGAGAAAATAAGCAAAATTGAGGAAATACACATAGGAACATGAGGGGCAAAATTATTTCTATTTGCAGATGATATGATGGTTTATTTAGAAAATCCTATACATTTTATAAAACAATTAATTGAAACAATAGTGTCAGTAAAGTAGCAGCATATGAATTAATCCCACAGAAACCATCAGCATTTCTGTATTTCAGTCAACCACTTATTAAATGTTTACTGTGTGTATGCTAGGCACAGGGCTATGTACTAGGGATACACAGCAAGGCAAAGCATAAACTTTGTCCTCAAGGAGCTCACATTCAACGGGTGAAACAACATGCAAATTAATAGTGTACATCCAAGATATATATATATATGTGTGTGTGTGTGTGTGTGTGTGTGTGTATACACACATACAAACGTATACATGGAAAACTATAGCAATGCAAACGTGTAGATATATGTGTGTATACACACACACACACACACACATTTAGAAATATACACACAGTGTAAATGGAAGGTCATCTCATAAGGATGGCACTAGCTTTTAAGGTTGGGGTGGGGTGGGCAGAAGAGAAAAAACCTACCACTACCCCCAGGAGAAGATGAGATTGGAGCTGAGACTTGAAAGAAAACAGGAGCTAGGTGGAATAGGGAACAGTCATGTAAATATTACTAATAAAACCAAGGAGAAAAAGAGAAAAAAAATCATTTAAAATTGCCAAAATATTTAGGTGTTAACCTGCTAGGATGTAATCAAGATTTATATAAACACAAGCATAAAATGTTTGTTTGTTTTTTTCTGAAATAAAGAATTAAATAAATGGAGACTCATTTATGGTACATGGTTGGGATGCACCAACGTAATTAAAATGTTAATATTATCTCTACATTAGTTTAGGGCTATGTTAATGAGACTGCAGCAGTAATTTTATAATAACAAAATTTGTTTGGAGGAACAAAGATCAAGACCCTCAAGGAAATAACAGTTTAAAAAAGAAGGAATGAAAGAGGAGCCAGTGCACTAATTTTTTTTTCTGATTTGAACTTGTTAATCTAAGTCATATATATATTTGGAGCATATTGTGGTATATGGCATAAGATATTAGTCTTAACCTAATTTTTTCCAAACTGTTCTAGTTTTCCTAGTAGTTTTTGTTGAATGGAAGGAGATCACTTTTAGATCTAAGATTAACGGAAGAATTCATTAAGAAGCAAGTAATAGAGGAGAATATAAAAGACAAAATAGCCAATTTCATTTACATAAGATTAAATAACTTAATATAAACTAAATAAATAAAGTAAGAATAAGAAAAGAATTTAATTGGAGGGGAAAGAATATTTGCAGGAAATATCTTATAAAAGTTTGGTGTGCAGAGATATATTAGAAATTGACACAAATAACTAACACCAAGAGCCATTTCCTACTAAGTAGTCAAAGGATATTAGTAGCTTTTGAAAGAGTAATTGCAAATTATCGACAAAAATTTAAAAAAAAACACTAAGAGAAATGCAAGTTAAAATAACTCTCAACCTTTCTTTCACATTTGCAAATCAGCAAAAAACTGACAATTGTTGCAGAAGTTGTAGATAGGCGTATGAATACAAGAGATGGGAAATTGATCAAACTTTTTTTTTGCAAGCAGTTTGGATTAATAATAAAAATCACTAACCTGTGTCCTGTGAATCAGTGCTTCCACTATATCCCAAAGTAAAATCAGTTACAGAAAGAAAGGTACCATGCATACTAAAATATCCATAGTAGTATTCCTGGAATAGGAAAAAACCTCCAAAACAGCAAAAAACTAGAAACATAGTGGGTCCTTATCAATTGAGAATGGCTGAACAAGTGGTATATGAATATCATAGAATATTATCGTGCTGTAAGAAACTATGAGTATTAGGCATTCAAAGAAATATGAAGTGACATAGATTAAGGAAAGCAGGATCAGGAGAAAATTATATACAGTGACTTGAGAAATATAAATGGAGACAGCACTAAAAGGCCATTTAACTCAGATTAATTGCAAATAGCAACCTTGATTCTGGAAAACAGTCCCGAAAACAAATCTCTTTTGAGGGAGAAAGAAGTAAGGGTCTACGGGGATTGAGTGTTGTAACATATTGTCAGATAATGGTTTGGTCAGTTGTTTTTTTTCCTTTGTTTCAGTGGTGAGAGGAAGTGGTGTGTAATAAGATTTTTTGAGATGTTTTAAAGGCATCATTAAAAAACAATTTCATTTTATTTTAATGTAATGGACTGCCTCAAAAGGTAGTAGGTTACACATTAGAGATCTTCAAGTTATTGTCTGGGTGGTCACTTGCTGGGGATGATGTAGATAAGATTCCTGGTCAGGTACAGATTGAACTAGATGCCTTCAGAGGTCCCATCCAACTCAAGGTTCTTTGATGATATAGTAAAGGAATTTGAGCTAAAATGTTAATGGCCTAATGTTAACCTTCTCAGGTAACATTTGCATTTTAACACTGGCCATTTGTGCCAGTCTTAAGGAACAATTAATGCATATGGCATTCTCCCCCCCAAAAAAAAACAACCCTTAACTTTAGTCCGGAAAAGTATTATTAAATCAGAGATCATTAGATTTGGACAGTATCTTAAAAATCACCCAATCAGATCCGTTTATTTTATAGATGAGGAAATAGTCCCAGACAGGTCAAGTGAGTCCAGCAGTATCTTGAGATCCTGACAGTGCATAGCCTTGTTTTTTTTTTTTTAATTTTTATTTTATTCAAAATTTTTTTGTTTTTTTTATAGCCTTGTTTTATACATGTTAGCTATACTCTTATTTATATTTTCTTAATTTTTTGCTATATAACCCCATATTAATTAAATAAATATACATCTTTGTTCTTAACCTTTTATAAATTTAAATACACTGCAAAAGTTAAAGGGGAAAATTGCAATTTTTAAACGTTTATAACAGTCAGAATTAAAGTTATGTCAATATGTTTGCAGGCTTTTATATGAAAACACAGAAAAGGACCTTTCAGACACTCAGCGACACCTTGCTAAGAAGAAATATGAGCTACAACTTACCCAGGAGAAAATTATGTGTTTAGATGAAAAGATTGGTGAGTGCTCACTGTCCAATAATACTTTTATTTCTTTGACTTGGTGGTGGTAGAAAAATAAACAAAATTGTATGATATTAGATTCTTTTTTAGAAAACAGAAAATCATATATCTAGAGTTTGATACAAATCTTAGCCTGACCATCCTAAATTTCACATTTTATAGCTTTAAACTATGCAAATTATTTTAAAAAATCCACACATTTTGACATATTAGTAGAATTTATAACTCTAATTTTTTCAAGTATTCAAGGAGCTAACATTAAGGATATTTTTTGTTCAGATTTAATTTAAAAGGATACAAGGAGAAATCCTTAAAAAATCAATTGAATTGTTTATGGATCAAAGCAATATAAATAAAATTACTCTTCCTACACAGTGAAAGAGGTACTTTCGGGATCATAAATGTATATAAATCACTGAAAGGTGATTCTCATTGAGTAATCCCAGACTGATGAAATCTTAGGGGAGATGTCTCCTACAATTTTAAAACTATTGAACAAATTTTAATTTATATATATTAAGTAGCACAGTTCTGCTGCATCTAAATATTTGCAAAAGATACTTAGTGGATATGTATAAATTCTGATTGGAGTGCACACACACTTGACCTGAAAAAGACATTTCAATTTATAGCTCTCCCATTTATCTTACCAGAAAAAAAAAATCATGTCTCATGTCTTTGGTAGCACATTGAATTTCTACTAATTAGAATTGGAAGGACTTAAGAAATTATCTACCACAACACTTCTCTTTTTAAGGTGAGAGAACTGAGACCCAGAGAGTCTCTGTGAATTTCCCAGCTTACGTAGTTTATGTAAAAGGTAACATCTTGACCCTGGCTACAAGATACCTCATATCTGACTGAAGAATTTAGTCTGGATTTAGATGTGTAGACTGAAGAATTTATCTGGATGTTTGAAAATTGCAATTTCTTTCTATATATATATCAGTCATCATGAAGAAAGAGACATTGAAATGACAGAATATTGTTTGCTTTTTCATCTTGCAGACATTACCACCAAACAAGCTATTTTTAAAATATTACCTTACTCTTTATTCCACCTATCCCCTTCTCCAAGTCTTCCTTTTGGAATTTGGATCTTAAAAGGCTGTGTTAGGAAAGAGTAGGTATAATTAGACAGTACACAAAGAAGGAGATTGGCTTACCTTGTTTAGAAATCCGGTAATTTGTTGCTACCATCATACTTGTTGCCTACCGTCATACATATTTCCGTACTTAGTGACTCCCTTGAAACTTACATATGTAGATTTAATGACTAATGTGATAAGCTTGGAATCAGTTAAATGATCTTTGTCAAGCATCTGTTTCTGCTTCTCAAGCAATATTTGATGTCTGCCTCAGTTGGGGTGTTCTCAATATTGGTGACATAGATCAGTCTTTGTGAGTTAAGAAATTTGTTTTATTGGTTTAAAATGTAGACTTAATGGGAGCCTAAAGTGAAACAACACAAATGTATTTTTCACCAGAACACAGGTAAATTTTGCTTTTTAAGAGAGGATTTTAATATGCATAGCAGGAACGCATGGTTTTTTTTTTAAACTATCTATAAACACATCTCTTCTATAGCAATATTTCTTATTTACCTGCTTCTTTTTCAAGGCTTTGGGGAGAGCTTAGTGCTCCACCATCCATCCTAGGATCTTTGAACCCGAGATTGCTCTGAAAAGTAGGCTTGAATTTAATTCAGCAAACATTTCTTAAGTGCCTACTATGTGTCAGGCATTGTGCTAAGTGCAAATAAGAAAAAGAGACAGTCCTTGCCATCAAGAAGTTCACAATCTAATGAGGGAGACAACAAACAAAAGGAAGCTGAAAAAGGGAGGTAGTGCTAGGAGGTGCCTGGGATGGGGGAATGTTGTACCCTGGAGTGGAAAGCCAAGCCGAGCTGCTAGTGAAGAATGGAGCTGCCAGGAAGGCTATGAGCCCTCTAAAAAGAAAGCCTTTGGGAGTAGTTTAGTGATGTTGATTATGAAAACCCAAGTCTGTTTTCGTGGTGATAAGATCTCGGGTGATCAGTACACCTCAGGGCGAGGGCTTGAGGAGATTGTTGAAGGCAAAGGAGAATGTGAGGGCAGGAAACTCGTGCTGGTCCTGCAGCCTGTGTAACTGGCGCTCAGAGAGTGGGGAAGGACAGCACTTTTTCTGTTCTCTCCAATCTCATTTGATTCCATTGGAAAGCAGGATCCCAGGGATGAGAAACAGGACATAGCTGTGAAATGGTAAGTACATGGAGCTCTTATTTTAAGGTCATGATCCTCTCCTGAAGTCATGGTTGGTTGGTTGCTGTCCTTTGTTCTTGAAGAGGACCAAAATGACATCACTGTGCTAGAGTCGAGTCACAATGTGTCCAACTGTGGCTGATCAGACCAATATGAGCTCAGAAGGCTCTACCACAGGTCGGGCACAAATAGTCCACTTGAACATTTGGGGTGGATTCTCTAAATTTGTGCATCCTACATTTCCTTTGAGCTGCTTCAATTCTTCTCTGCTCACAGAGCACAGCACCTTATAATGATTAGACCAATGACATTAGCCATCAGAATGTGTTATATAGATACAAAGCTGCCACTTGTAGGGCACCTTTGAAAGTAATAGTGAATTTGAATGTGGTGTTACCTCTATTTTCCCTAGCACTAGGTGGCTTCTGTAATATTTAGCCATACTACCAGGGGTTTCTCAGACCGTTCTTGGTCTTGGACCCTCTCTGAGATCTGGTACAGAAGGATTTATTTGAAAAGCTAAAAACAAACAAAAAAATTAGAACTCTTTAAGGGCAAATAGATCTACTGGGATCTCTGTCATCCCAACTGTTTTAGCCCCACTTATTTTTAATCTCTCTCCTACCTATCTGACTGCTCCTTCTCTGGCCTTCTTTGTTGGATCCTCTTCCAGATCATGCCCTCTAACTGTAGATGTCCCTCAGGGTTCTGTCTTGGGGCCCTACTACTTCACTGGGTGATTTCATCAACTCCCATGGATTTTATTATCATCTCTATGCTGATAATTCTCAGATCTACCTTTCCTGCTTCACTCTGTCTGCTGACCTCCAATCTTTTATCTCCAAGCTGCCTTTCAGACATCTCAAATTGGATGTCCAGTAGACATCTTAAATTCAGTATGTCTAAAACAGAACTCATTATCTTTCTCCCTAGATTACCTACCCCACCCCACCCCAACATACACACCTTCTCTATAACTATAAAGCGTGTCTGTCCTCCCTGTCTCTCACACTACAATGTAGGAGTCATCTTGAATTCCTCATTGTCTCTTATACCATGCCCCCCAAATCCAATCTATTGCTAAGGCCTTTTGATTTCACCTTTATGACTCTCTAATACACCCCTTCCCTCCTTTGACCCTGTCACCACTCTGGTGTAGGCCCTCATCCCCTCACACCTAGATCATTGCAATAGTCTGCTGGTGGGTTTGCCTGTCTCAAATCTTTCCCCACTCCAATTTATCCTCCATTCAGTCACTAAAGTGACTCCCGTGCCCATCCCAGGTTTGACCCCCATACTCAATAAACTCTGGTGACTCCCTGTTGCCTCCAAGATTAAATACAAAATGCTCTGTTTGGCATTCAAAGCCCTTCATAGCTTAGCCCCTTCCTACCTTTCCAGTCTTCTTATACCTTACTCCCTGATAAATACTCTGATCCAATGACAGTAACCTCCTGATCTTGTAAACAAGACACTCCATCTCTTGGCCCCAGGCATTTTTTCTGACTGTCCCCAAGGCCTGCAACACTTTGCCCCCTCTGCTCCTATCACTGCCTTCCCTGGGTTTATTGGAGTCACAGCTAAAATCCCACCTTCTCCAGGAAGCCTTCTCTCACCCGTCTTAATTCCAGTGCCTTCCGTCTGTTAATTATATAGTTTGCTTTGTATATATTTGTTTGCAAGTTTTTTGTATCCCTAGTACTTAGCACATTGCCTGGCACATAGTAGGTGCTTAATAAATTTTTATTGATTGAATTAGAACTGGACTTCATGGAACACTTAAACAACACATTGGAACTTCTGGGAAGTTGATACTTGAATCATTTTGTTGCATAGGTAGACTTTTTTTCTGCTGTGTTTTTGCTTTAACTAGGTTTGATTGCTACTTAGGGAAAATATCTGAAAATACATTTATGACCTAATGATGATCTCTGTGTGAATCAACAAGGCAGTTTAATTGTAGTCACTTTAATACTTTAAAAAATCAACAATTTCATCTATGTGTGTGCTTCTTCCAATAACATAAGTAGGTGGTTTCATGAATTTTTACAGAAAAAAAGTTTAGCTTATTGCAGACAGTCTTCAGGTGATGAGCCTCTTGGTACTTAACAGGGCTGTCACTTGGACTTTGGTCCATTAGTTGATCTTCATAAGTCTTACCAGCTTGTTAGTCCCTACTATAATTTGTTCCCTCCACTAACAGTCTTAAAGAACCCATGGTCACCTGAACACAGTGATAAACCATCAGAGTAGGACTTTAGTGAAGGTTAAATATAGTTTTCAACTTTGTACACAGATTCTATTTCAGATTGTTGACTATGCTTCTGAGTTTATGAACTATTTAAAATTCATAACTTTGAATGCTATTTATCAGAGGTAAAAACTAATTGTTATTTGGACAATTTTTATTAATCTGCTTAATATTTTTAGTGGCTTCAAGTAAAAGAGAACTCATTACAAAGAGTATTAGAGCCTGCTTGAAAATTTTAATTTGATTAAAACCTATACCTTTGTGGTTCCATGTCTAGATAATTTTACGAGGCAAAGTATTGCCCAGCGAGAGGAAATCAACCTTCTTGGTGCAACACTCAGTGATGTAGCTAAAGAAAAGGAATGCCTGCAAGCATGCTTGGATAAAAAATCTGAGAATATTGCTTCCCTTGGAGAGAGCTTGGCAATGAAAGTACGTTCTGAGATCTATCAAGTGTTTAATAATTTGTCTAAGTATGTTAATTGAAGAAAATTGTTTAAAATTTAATCTTAATTTCCTAAGTTTTATAAGCATTTAAATTTCTGATTTTGCAATATCTAGAGTGATTTTAGGAAATATGCTAACAAACTAGTTAGTGATTTAAATTTCATTTTTTCATCATCATTAAGTTATGATTAGCATTCTACAGACTTTAGCTTTGAAAAATATAATCAATATTAAGTAATGTGACTGATTGTTAAGCAAACATTGAACCTTACTCATCAAGATGAGTGTTGTCCCTTTCAGAGTAGTTACCTTGGAGTTGGTGAATAAGGTAGGTGATGACACTTGGTAATACTGTTTTGTATTGAAAATGAGGTGTAACTATGAATTAATGTGTTGAGGGTTTTTTCCCTGTGGCTTATAACCTGGCTTTAAAGGTATAGTTGGAAAAGTGTTTTAACAGTGATTGCATTATAGTAGAACACAAATGATCTCTTGAGGTATGAATACCTCAAAATCCAACATTGATTGGGATGTATAACTTTTAGTATGCCTATTTAAAAAAAAGTCACACCACTTTTAGTCATAGCCCAAATTCAAATCAATAAATGTTTATTATTGCTTTGTGCTAGCCACTATGCCAGGAGCACGGTGCTATCAACAGAGATTCAATAGCCGACTCCTGGAGTCTCTGAGAACTCTGGCTCTGGGGCTACTAGCTCCTTGTCCAAGGTTCATTCTGGCTCTGTGAAGTAATACATTGTGTAAATCAGCGTTCAAGTCTCTCTTGTTCCAACATTCTTTCACTAAGCCATGTAAGAGAAACCAGACTATTAGCAAGAAAATTTAATTGAGACATAAAATTGAGAAGCAACATAAACAATAATGTAGAGAATAATAATTACATCAACTAGTGGAGTTATTTGCTGCCTCACCCTATTCCCATCTAGTCCTTGATCATAATGGATCTTAATAGGGAAGCCCCTCAGAATACTTTTCCAATCAAAATGGCCTTCTCACTATACTCCTCACCCAACACTTCTGTTCTCAAGTCCATGCCTTTGTACTTGCTATTCTCCATGCCTAGAATGCACTCCCTCCCTGCCTTGGGCTCGTAGAATCCCTGGTTTCCTCAAGTACCACTTCTTAAAAGACTCCCTTCCTGATTCCCCACCCCTTCACTTCTGGGCCCCCTAACATACATACATACATACATACATATACACATATATACATACACACACATATGTTTCAAGAGAATGTTTCATTTTTGTCTTTATCCCAGCACCTAGCCCCAGCAGAGTTCCTGGTGCATAGAGGTGCTTAACAAGTGTGTATTGATTGATGGCATGCCATTTGGTGCATATATGTTCAGTCTTGATAGTAATTCATTGTTTGTGGTACCTGTTATAATTAGGTCTATTTTTGTTTTTGTTTTGTATGACATGATTGTCATCCTTTCCTTTTTTATTTAAGCAGAAGCATAATCATCTGTAAAATGAGCTGGAGAAGGAAATGGCAAACCACCCTAGCATCTTTACTAAGAAAATCCCAAATGGGATCACAGAGAGTAGGACATGACTGAAATGACTAATAGATTCTGCTCTAATCTCTTATTTTTAACTCTTCGAATATATTTCCATTTCAAATGTGTTTCTTGTAAACAATATATTGTTGAATTCTGATTTCTAATTAATTCTGTCACCCTCTATTATGGGTGAGTTTATCACACTCACATTTATAGTTAAGAATACTAACTCCATCCTATTTTTGTGTACATATCCTTCTCTTTTTTACCCTGTCTCCTCCTCAAGAATTTGTTTTGCTTCTGACTATTGCCTCCCCTCTTATTCTCTACGCCTACTTTCTCTTAATCTTTTTCCCTCCTACGTCCCTGTTGAGTAAGATGCATTTCTGTACCCAACTGTATGTATATGTTTATTCTTCCCTCCTTGAATCAATGTAGATAAGAGGAAGGTTCAAGTGTTCCCCCCACCACACCTACTCACTGCTCGCTCCCTCCATTGTATAAAGTTTATCCAGGGATGGGGAACCTGCAGCCTCAAGGCCACATGTGGCCTTCTAGGTCCTCAGGTGCAGCCCTTTGACTGAATCCAAATTTCATACAATGAATCCCCTTAATAAAAGGATTTGTTCTATAAATCTTGGACTCAGTCAGAAGGCCATATCCAAGGACCTAGAAGGCTACATGTGACCTCAAGGCCATAGGTTCCCCACCCCTGGATGAACTCCTCCTTGCATTCCATTTATATAAGGTAATTTCTCCCCATTCTTCTTCTCCCTTCCTCCCTCTCCCAGTACATTCCTCCTCTCCACCTTTCCATTATTCTTTTAAAATCATCCCAACAAAATAGAATCATACCTAGGCCCTCTGTCTAATTAGATTCCTTCTAAGAGCCCTAGTGATGATTACATTCTGAGGGGGTATATATAAAAATGTAAACAGTTTAACCTTATTTAGTAACTCTTATGATTTCTCCCTTATGTTTAACTTTTTATGCTTCTCTTGAGTATTGTGTTTGAATGTCAAGATTTTCTATTCAACTCTGGTCTTTTCATCTGGAATGGTAGAAAGTCTTCTATTTCATTAAATATTCCTTTTTCTCCCTGTAGGATTAATCTAAGTTTTACTGGATAGGTTAGTCTTGTCTGTAATCCTAGATCCTTGGCTTTCCAGAATATTATATTCCAACTCTATTTCTGCTAAATCTTGTGTGATCTTGACTATGGTTCCATTGTACTTGGATTCCTTCTTTCCTGTTACTTGCAGTGTTTTCTCTTTCACCTGAAAGTTCTGGAATTTGGCTATACCATTCCTGGGAGTTTTCATTTTGGCTTTCTTTTAGGCATTAACCAGTATATATATATTTTTTTATTTCTACTTTATCCTCTGGTTCTAAGATATCTGGGCAGTTTTCCTTTAGAATTTTTTTTTTTGAAGTACGATATCTAGGTCCTTTTCTGTTCATGGCTTTTAAGTAGTCCAATGATTTTTAAATTGTCTCTCCTTAATCTATTTTCTAGGTCAGTTGTTTTTCCTATGAGATATTTCACATTTCTTCTAATTTTTAAGTGTTTTGATTTTGTTTTATTATTTCTTGATGAATCATGAAGTCATTAGCTTTCATTTGGCCAATTCTAATTTTTAAGGAGTCTCTTCAGTAAGGTTTTTGTGACTCTTTTAGAAAGCTGTTAATTTTCTTTTCATAACTTTCTTGCAAAGCTCTCATTTTTTTTCCCTCTTCTACTCTCATTTGGTTTTTAAGAAGATTTTTTGGGTTTGTTTGTTTTTAATTGCTCTCTTTAACTCTGGTAAAAATTCTTGTTGGGTGTACGTCCAATCTGCATTTTTCTTTGAGGCTTTGCTTCTAGCTATTTTCAAATTGTTGTCTTCTATGTTTGTATCTTGAGCTTCCCTGTCATCATTTGTGGTTGTTCAGTCATTTTTTAATCATATTGGACTCTTCATGACCTTTTTGGGGTTTTCTTGGCAAAAATGTTGGAGTGGCTTGCCTCTTCCTTCTCCAACTTCTTGTACAGATGAGGAAACTAAGGCGAATAGAGTTAAGTGACTTGCCCAGGGCCACACAGTTAGGAAGTGTCTGAGGCCACATTTGAACTCAGGAAGATTAGCCCAGCACTCTATCCACTGCATCACCTCAGTGCCTTCTCTATCACCATAGTAGTTCAGGTTCTTTTTTTTTTTTTTTTTTGCTCAGTCTTCCAGCCTATTTCTTGACTTTGGGCTTTATGTCAGTATTGGGCTCTGCCCGCTTCTGGGGAGTGGAGGAATGTCTGGTTTGAGCTTCTCTCTTTTTATGTCTTTTTGCTGTTTTCATAGCATAATCTTGGGGCCTGCAAATTTTGGGTGCTTCCAGGGTGGTGTGATCTGCGTAAAGGTTTGTTCAGAGCCATTTTGTCCTGAGCTCTGAAAGTTCCTGCCTGAGTTTGGGTCTGTTGGATTGTGTGTTGTCAAATTGCAATAGACCACTACTGGGCTCAATTATTGTTAGCCCACTGGGAAGTTCTGTAGATTCAGAGAGACTAAACTGCTTGGTTTCCTGTCCTAGTTATTCCACTGAAGGCTTATGTGTGGGGCTAAAGGTTAAAACTGAGCCCCTCTTTTGCTCTTGGGCTCAGAGCCACACAGCTAAGTTTTAGGGACTTGTTCCTTGTTACATACACAGTGAGGGCCTCTCTTGCTAATAGTCAATAGGCCTGTTCCTCTTCCCAGCACTGGTTTTAGGGTTCCCTGGGATCTCTTTCTGCCCCAGTGCTTTCAACTCTAGTGTTCAGTCTCAGCCCTTTTATCATCCTTACCTTCCAGAACGCATCCTCCCCCCACGGCTACCTCTGTTCACTGCTTCTACTGCCACTGCATTGTGCTTCTGGCTAGCTCCCACCCCAGTGTCCACAGACCTTTCTGTCTATCTTCCTAAGCTGCACTGGACTGGAAAAATAATTTACTGTGACTTTTTCTTGGCTTCCATGATCAGTATTCCATTTAGCACGTTTTCTAGGTTGTTGTAGGGGAAGTTGTTGGGGGAGCTGGGGAAATAAATGCTATTATTATTCTGTCATCTTGACTCTATCTCTAGGCAGCTTTATTTAATGATTTCTTGAAATACAATGTCCAGGGTTTTTGTTTTGTTTTGTTTTTCCCTGAGGGGGTCACGGTTTTCAGGGAGTCTGATTCTTAAATTCTCTTCTCCACATGTTTTCCATGTCAGTTCTTTCTGATAGCAGATATTTTACATTTTCTGTTTTTTTTTTCAATCTTTTGACATTGTTCTAATATTTCTTGTTGTCTCATGGAATCATTGAGTTCTTTTTGTTCCATTTTGTTTGTCAAGGAGTCCATTACCAGAATGATGTTTTTTTATCCTCTGTTCCATGTTATTTATCCTCTTTTCAATTCCCACTCTCCTTCCCTGTCCAAGCTTTTATTTGAATTACAATTTCAGTTT